GATGATTTAACCCTTTGATAACGATGAATTAATCTTTTAATAACGATGATTTAACCCTTTGATAACGATGATTTAACCCTTTGATAACGATGAATTATTCTTTTAATATCGATGATTTAACCCTTTGATAACGATGATTTAACCTTTTGATAACGATGATTTAACCCTTTGATAACGATGATTTAACCCTTTGATAACGATGATTTAACCCTTTGATAACGATGATTTAACCTTTTGATAACGATGATTTAACCCTTTGATAACGATGATTTAACCTTTTAATAACGATGATTTAACCCTTTGATAACGATGATTTAACCCTTTGATAACGATGATTTAACCCTTTGATAACGATGATTTAACCTTTTGATAACGATGATTTAACCCTTTGATAACGATGAATTAATCTTTTAATAACGATGATTTAACCCTTTGATAACGATGATTTAACCCTTTGATAACGATGATTTAACCCTTTGATAACGATGATTTAACCTTTTGATAACGATGATTTAACCCTTTGATAACGATGATTTAACCTTTTAATAACGATGATTTAACCCTTTGATAACGATGATTTAACCCTTTGATAACGATGATTTAACCCTTTGATAACGATGATTTAACCTTTTGATAACGATGATTTAACCCCGATGATTTAACCCTTGATAACGATGATTTAACCCTAACGATGATTTAACCCTTTGATAACGATGATTTAACCCTTTGATAACGATGATTTAACCCTTTGATAACGATGATTTAACCCTTTGATAACGATGATTTAACCTTTGATAACGATGATTTAACCCTTTGATAACGATGATTTAACCCTTTGATAACGATGATTTAACCCTTTGATAACGATGAATTAATCTTTTAATAACGATGATTTAACCCTTTGATAACGATGATTTAACCCTTTGATAACGATGATCGATGATTTAACCCTTTGATAACGATGATTTAACCTTTTGATAACGATGATTTAACCCTTTGATAACGATGATTTAACCCTTTGATAACGATGATTTAACCCTTTGATAACGATGATTTAACCTTTTGATAACGATGATTTAACCCTTTGATAACGATGATTTAACCCTTTGATAACGATGATTTAACCCTTTGATAACGATGATTTAACCCTTTGATAACGATGATTTAACCCTTTGATAACGATGATTTAACCCTTTGATAACGATGATTTAACCCTTTGATAACGATGATTTAACCCTTTGATAACGATGATTTAACCTTTTGATAACGATGATTTAACCCTTTGATAACGATGATTGATAACGATGATTTTTGATAACGATGATTTAACCCTTTGATAACGATGATTTAACCCTTTGATAACGATGATTTAACCCTTTGATAACGATGATTTAACCCTTTGATAACGATGATTTAACCCTTTGATAACGAAGATTTTTTTTAACTCACCATGACAGTAAACACAAGTAAATCACAGCTCTGTATTTTTTTCCCATTCTAAAACACAATTACTAAGACCTACATCACGTTTGAGTATTCCTGTATATAGTTTATCGGTAAATAACAACAGCACTGTGTCACCTCCATCAACACAATGGTCCCTGATACTGTGTGGTCTAGGCAGTGAGGCGGTCACAGATATTTACAATGGATGGGGTTTGTTTTGAAGCTGGATTATGTTTCTGTGATTGTTTTCTTGTTTTCATCTTTGTTGGTTTTGTTTGTATTACTTGTTTATTGTTATTTTTGTTATTATTATTATTATTATTATTATTATTATTATTATTATTATTATTATACACTTGTCTTGCATCAATCTTCTTTACCATTTCCGTCTATTCTGTCTTCTGGCTTCTGTTGACTTGAATCACCCAACACAAATAATAGATAGATAGATAGATAGATACTGTAGATAGATAGATAGATAGATAGACTTTTTTTCATAATAATCATGGAATCTCGACAACTCCACCCCCTCAGCTGCCCACACACATACATATTAACATGATAACTTCCATTGTACCGTTATCACCCCCCCCCCTTCCCTACCTGAGTCATGTCATGTAATTGCATACCTATACCTGAATAGCGCCGTGGGAGGGGGGGTTAAGTAGTGCCTTGGAAGGGGGGGGGGGGAGACGTGGTTATAGTTTGAATATATATCTGGGCTTCAACAACTAACTAAGGTCTTTATACACATACACTAAATCAGTTTATTCAATATTCATCGATTTAATATAGAGAATTTTTTTTTTTTATGAGTTTGATGATTTAACGTATTGCTACGCTTCAATCGGATAGGACATAGGTGTTTATAGCGCGTCTTAAAGGAGATAAGTAGTGTTATTTTACGATGTATTACACCGCTTACGCAACAAAGGTTCAATTGAGCTCTTACCTATTTGGTATATCTTAACATTAAACAATAATAACTCATAATTATCTCTGTTTAGTGCGTGGAGTGCCTGTTGATGTTATAATGTGTTAATTGTACTTCAACATCTTAGTTCTCCCAAGTGTGTACTCTAGATTACTTCATACACTTAACATCATCTAATAAAAATAATAAGATATCTCTCTCTGTCTCTCTGGGTTGCCGTCCTTCTTGCCGACTATGGTGTTCACGACCATAGATTTGTGTTGGGTACTGGCACATGTTCTCGTTGAGTTGCTAGGCTGCTTTTACAAACTCGTGTTCCGTTTTCAGTTTATCTATTATCAGAGAGCTGGGTGTCCAATACCTACCTGGTCATGGGAATATTATCCTCACTTAACCCTTTTAGTGATAACGTTGAGACTATATTAAACAACAACGGATTATTACGACAACATTCATACAACACAAACGTTTGGTCGTCCTTTGGGAAATGAGTTACGTGTCTTGGTTTTTTTTTTCGATTTTTTTTAGGAGAAAAGTGTGATACCTCGTTGATAATGTGATGTATTTCTACTCTTCAATAACTAAAGTCCTTCACCCTTTAATGTACGGGGTCTCCTCTGTGCTGAATCAAATTGCCTGACGTTTGCGAAATAAAATACAAAAAACTGGCGTCCATGTAGCGAAGAGGTTAACCACGCTTTAAGATACCAGTAATATATAACTTGTTGCTATGACTAAAAGTGATTTGGTAATGCAGGAGTAAGATTAATGTCATATTCTTTTTCATGTAATCTTAATTTATTAGAAGCGATATATATGGTAAATTATTATCCATTCTTGTTTACGGATGTCAATGGATTATCTTATGGATTTGGGTAAGGATTCAACTCTGATTAATTTGGGGAAGGATACTAATTCTCACATTAACTTGTGTAGAGATTAAAACACTCTTATGAAGTTGGTTAGGGATTTTAATTAACTTATTTCTTAATCGCATAATCAATTTCATCCACATGGGTAAAGTTTCAACATTAATTAGCTTAGGTTCGTATTGATTACCTTCTGTTATCTACCTGTACCTTAATTATATATTGATGCTTATAATTCTGCCCAGATGTTGATATTTTTTAACAAGTAAATATTTGTTATTAAGAAATACTCGTATAAGAAATATTAAAAGAAAATACGTTTATGTTTTAATTAATGAATGCTTATACACGAACGCCTTTTGATAGATCGGTCATTTTTCATAATATAGCGATATTGTTATATAAATTTGTATAATATTCCCCGATTAGCTGGATTTTGGGGTATTATTATTATTATTTGGTGTAAAGACTTATTAGAGAAGAGTTTTCTTTCTCTTGATCAATGGAATGCTACCTCTCACTTGATGACGTCACAACCGCATTTCGAGTATAGAAAACCAAAGAGTGATGGGTTGTGTTTATGGGTTATTAGTCATTATATGTAGTTTATTCATTCTTTGATATAATAGACATCCACAAGACACATGTGAACTTAGGCGTTTTTCACACGAGCGTTTTATGTTTTGTTCTTTGTCACGCGGGAAAAATCTTAAATCGGGTTTATAAACGCCCAAATAACACTGTAGGTCCTGTTAGCCATTATTATATTTTTCCATTAACTATGCAAGTAATTTATTTACGAAAGATTAAAATTGAGATGAAAAGAAACGACCACTCTTTGTATTCGGGTTTGTGAAGGATTTGTCTGCGAGGGGGCTACGGTTGTGACGTCAGGCAGTAATATCACGAGAAAGATGAAATCCACCTCTGCCTCAACAACATCCATTCGTGGCAGAAATTTTGTTGGATATTGTAGGAAATTTACTAAACTTATGTTTATATATTATTTTTATTCCTCATTAAAAAAAATCACTGGCTATCTAATTAAATTGTATACTGTATCGGATTGTAAATATTAATTAATAAATATTGTACAGACGAATTCTTTGGGAAAACTAATTGTGTAATATATATTTTAATCAATAAATATTTACATCGGTTTTTGTATTAGTAAAGGGGCCGACTCTTGAACCAGGTCCCTAGTAAACAAGATAAATTAGTTTTAATAAGTAGTATGAATAAGTACATTATAATACTAATTTACAGACGATACGAACCAACTAAACCTAACCTGACAAATCCTCATTTACCCACACCAAACCTAACCAATTCCAATCCAATCACACCAAATCATACCTAACCTAACCTAAACCTAACTCACCCACACCAAACTAAACCTAACCTAACTTAACTCACAAACACCAGACCTAACCTAACCAATTTCAATCCAATCACACCCGATCATACCTAACCTAACCTGATGATTCTGGTTAAGGTACATTGGATTTAGTTGCTTCATATCATTTATTAAAAAAATATAATGGAAAAAAATTAATGTAAAGGTTCTGTGTGTGACAATATTGTACCAGTGACCAGTTTGCCTACAAGTAATGCTAATAACAAGATGACAGTGCACGCCCCGTCCTAAATAAGATTCCTGTATTATAAACCCCCCTTTATAGTGTGTTACCTCAGTCAACCCACCTCACCTTATTCCAGTAAAATAGAGCTGATGACAGGTTGTCTTTCAGTCGTGGGGGCCGAAAAAAGGCAAACGGAAATCCGGTAATGTTTACGCCATGGACTGTGTAACGTCTGTGAGCTTAGCGCAGGTAACACACACACACACACACACACACCAGGGTCGTTATGTCTCAAAGATACGTACGTTATTGTATTTTATTTACCTTTAACCCCATCATTTGGTAGTAAGAGAACGCATCTAGTTACGGTAGAGTCCAATTGTGTGTTGATTTTTATTCTAAATTTAAATGGAATAAAAATATATCTAGTTAGGTTGTGCCTCAGTTGTGCGAGTTAACTCCGTCTTGTTGTGGCAGCCTGAGTGAGTTAGATGTGTTGGGGTCAAGGGAGTGAGGAACTTAACGTACGGACCTTTGAGAGTCCTGGCCCTGGTTCCTTCTTGGTTACGTGATAGATGTGTTAGTTTAATGTAGGTCCTTTGGACTGCTGCATTTGTCCGTTCTGGATACAAAATCTGCGCATTGGTCTATTGCTGATTCGTCTGTTGAAGAACACAACAGAGGGATGTGTTCACAGAGACCTAACAAGAAATAAATAATCCATATTTTGACTAAATACAAAATGGATAGTTGGCTTCGTAGCTCCAGTACCCAAGATGACATCTATTAGGTTTTTCCTTAGCGATAAAAACGAATTTTATAGTCATTTTTTAATCTTCGTAGATCCTGTTTTCAGGATAATTGTAAGTAATATTTTATATTTAATCTATTTTCATTATATCTCCGGTGCTGCTAGACCCGGGCATGACAATATTAAACCAAAAAGCAACATTTTTTGTGACTGACATTTTGACTAGTGGTGTAGCGAACCGCATAAGCCTTTATAAATGCATATAGATACCACTTGATCATTAGTTGACCCTAGTGAGTGTAGCACACAGGTAAACAAAGGTGACCTACCTGCCTCTGGGTAATTATGGAAAGGCAAGCTGTTTTTTATTTAGATATAATTATTTTGCTCATTTTTAAGAATTGAATGATTTTTCCCCTTAATTTGCTTCACGGACAAGAATATATTTATTTAACTGCTTATGGTCTTACTAACAGAAACAACTTTAAATTAAACATAGCAAAAATAAATGTTTGACGCTGTTATAAAAATTAAATTATTATTTCTTTACATTATTTGGACCAATGCGAAGTTTTGTTGGTATGTTTTAATTATTATTATCATTATTATCAGTATTATTATTTATCATTTCCTGCCTGCAATGGATACCTTACCTATATCTCCGCCAACCTTTACACGCACACCTGCCCAAAGTAATGCAGGTGTTAGTGAATTAATTAGTTATGAAAAATTACCTGTATGTCATAGTGTAGTGTACCGGACAGTTGTGTGCTAGTGTCTTTTTGGCTATTATTTTGCTAGTTAAGTGATACCAAACTAGGCTCTTATTTTATTAGTTAAGTGATAGTAAACTTGGCTATTATTTTGCTAGTTAAGTGATAGTAAACCTGGCTATTATTTTTACGAATTATATTGAGTGAGAGAAAACTTGGCTATTATTTTGCTAGTTATACCAAGTCATAGCTAATAGTCTCATAGGTATATCAGTTAATAGCAGCCTGGCTAGTATAATACAAGATATTTAAGTCCTAACAGATTTGGCTATTATTCTACTAAATCTAATAGGGATTATCATATTCGGCTATCTTATTACTAAATGCTATAGGTGCTAGCAAATAATTTAGAATACTAGCAAATTTGACTATTGATTACAAGGATATAGTCAATTTATTTACTATTTAATGATATGAATACTAGTAAGTTTGATTGCTAATGCTACTAGATATCTGAGTTAATAGCAGAGTTGACTATTAATATGATAGGTGTTAGTTAAGGGAGATGTGGATAATGTCAGTTTATGGTAGAAATTGATGATGTTATGAACGTAGATGTTAAAAATGTTAGCTTAGGGTGATGTTTTTTTATTAGGTCAGGTTTATATTGATGTTAATATAGGAAATGTAGTGGATGTTAGTGCTAGTTTATGGAGATGAGATAATGTTAGGTAAATGTTAATGTATAGTTGATGTTAATATAGGGAGGTTTAGATGATGTTAGGTTAATGTTAATGTATAGTTGATGTTAATATAGGGAGGTTTAAATGATGTTAGGTTAATGTTAATGTATAGTTGATGTTAATATAGGGAGGTTTAAATGATGTTAGGTTAATGTTAATGTATAGTTGATGTTAATATAGGGAGGTTTAGAGGATGATTAGTTAGTATTCATTAATGTTAACATATTCTTGATGTTAATCCAAGTTAAGGTTAAAATAGAGATGTTGAGGATGATTGTTAGTTTATATTGATGATGTTAATGAGTCAAATATTTGTTAAAGAAGTTATTGATGTTCCTAGTTGTTAGTTACGGACTTTCATGTGCATGCTGGCAATGTTAATATATGTTAAAATATGTGTTTATTTCCTCTGTTAGGTTATGTTAGTGTTAGTTACGGTAGATTTAGGTCTATTAAGTAAAGTAGTTATTGATCATGTTAGTTTAGGTTAAATGTTAATGATGTCATTGTTAATTGGGATTGATGATGATGTTAGATTAAAGAGATTCTGATGGTGTTAATGTTAGTTTTAGGTAGATGTTAATGTTTTAGTAATTACGGGAAATGGAAGTTAGATTAGAAGAAGTTAAGTTAAATTAGACGATGTTCAGTTAAATTAGATGATGTTTAGTTAAATTAGGAGATGTTTATGTTAATTTTGGCGATAGAAGTATTTAGTTCAATTGGATGTTTAGTTAATTAGGCGATGTTAAGTTAAATTAGACGAATTTATGTTAATTTTGGCGATATTTAGTTAAATTAGATGTTTAGTTAAATTGGACGATGTTTAGTTGAACTTGATGATTTTATGTTAATTTAGATGATGTTTATGGTAGTATTGTATATGTTTACGTAGATGTTGATGATTGCTAAGGTAGATGTTGATGTCGATGTTGTAATGTTTAAGCCGCTGATGAATGTTACCTAAACAAAGATGTTGTGTATTTATATGTGTATAAAGTATATATTTGTATATATTATGATGTATAAATGATATATACTGTAAAAGTGTTCTATTGTATGTGTAGTATTTTGAACGTAATTTTGCTGTAAACAATGTTTAAAAATACAAACTTACATACACACATGCATTCTGTTATTTACATACAAAGGAACATACTGTATATACAGTACATACATATGTAGCCACACACACGTCAATACAAATATATATACGTATACATAATCACATATAAACATACATATATACATACATACATACAGACATAAAGATAGACATTACATACCTACCTACCTACATACATACATACATACATACATACATATATACATACTCTGTTTCTCTCTCTCATTCGCTCTCTTCTTACAGGCACATCCGAATCACAAAGGCAAGAGCGGTAGCGGCCGGAGCAGCAAAGGTCACCACTCCAAAGGTCACAGTAGACAGATGCAGGTAAGGTCATTATAGGTCAACTGTACTCTGAGATCGGCTACATTTTGGGGGTCACATGATGTCAAATTACGCCATGGTCACTGTGAGAGGTCAACTATCCCTTGAGGTCACGTGAGAGGTCAATTTTCCTTTGAGGTCACGTGAGAGGTCAACCATCATTTGAGGTCACTTCAGGTTTTGTCCACTTTTTACATTCAGTTACTTAAGGTCCCGGGCCGGCAGAAGTTGTTTGGACATCTTTCCTAGTCCCCTTGGTCCCTGTTCACCTAGCAGCACAGTAGGTACCTGCTGTAAATCGGAAGTTGCGAATTCGTATTCAGGGACAAGTTGTTGGAGCTTCCAATAACTTGCTTAGATATAAACCATTGACTCTTCAGGCTTCTACGCCCTTAACTCATGACACATAAGGCAAGCATGAACTTAGCATGCTTCCCTGGTGGACGCTGTAAACGCTTCACCTTACACAAGGATGTAGGGGGATGCCCAATAAAAAAAAAGTTACTTAAGGTCATACATTCACTGGGAGGTCAATAACTACGATAGGTCACGTGAGGTCATAGCCATAAGAGGTCACAGAAGATCAAGCATAAAGGCACGAGAGGTCACAACCACAGTAGGGGGGAAGAGGTCGAGTTGAACAACAAGAGCGCACTTAAACATTATCATAGTTATGTGTGTACGAGTGGATTACCTTCTACGAGTGTCCGTGGGAGAGTGAGAGAGGAGACTAAATGAAGGCCGAATGTATAGACGAAAGGATTAAAATATAAAACGTGTTATGAATAATGTTATGATTCCTTCACCTGAAAAAAAGAGAAACGCTATATATACTAAACGTTTATTAATGCTAAGAATCCTTCACCTGAAATAGAAAAACAAACAAAAGAAGAACGTTTATAGATCCCTTGAGTTTATTAATGCTTTAACTCCTTCATCAGAAATAGAACAAAAACAAAAGAAGAACGTTTATAGATCCATGAAGGTATATAATAGAGTGAGAGAGAGATATACTAGTAGGAGGGGGAAAGACTAGCCAATGACCCCCACGTGATCTGTAGTCTCCCACGACACCCAGTTTGTTGCTACCCTGTGGTAACATCATGTGTGGTGGCCTCTGGCAGCTAACTTCCCTCCTTCCACCAATCAGCGAGAGGAAAGAGGATAAAGTACTGTAGATCTTGCCCAATGGCGATCCTCACCTGCCTTATTCCACCAATCAGCGAGCGAGATGATGATGACGTATGATGGGCTCGTCTGTTAGTTAAAATTTGATAAAACTGTTTCATTATCATTATTATTAACATCGTCAATTTTTACCACTTCAGAAGCTGGATGCTGAGAGATTGGACAAGACACAAATGGCCATTAATTATACGAGTTTGTTTCTTATTATTCACATACATACACTGCTGCTTCCTGAAGGCCCATTTTCCTCCACTGTTGATTAGTCATTTTCTTCCTTCCTCCCATCATCCACTTATGGCCTATATGCTGTTCTTATCCATCTA